CCCCCTCCCCCCCGGCCTGTCACCGAACATCGGCTGGGTGGCGGGGTCCTGGGTGCGCCACCACGCGTTCGGACTCGCGGACGACGCCGACGGCTGAGCGCCGCCCGCTCAGGTTCAACACGCAACCGCCGGTCGGCCAAACAGCGCCCTCATTCCAAACCGCGAGCGACGAGTTGTTTTTGTATCGATATGCGGCACCGCCAGCCGGTACCGTGCTTGCGTTCATGGAGAAGGGGCGGTGAGAAATCACAAAATAAACGGTTTATAATTTAGGTACCTACGGATCACTCGCGTCGTGTCCGGACCGAAACAAACTCTACTGCGCGAGGTAAGGGCAAGTTCATCGTTCTGACGGCTTAATTTGGCGTTCTCCGAACATGCTGGGTAGAGGAAGCAATTGGGTGGGCGAGAGGGGGATAATGGGGATGGTGGGGTGAGAAGATTGGCCCCGCTGATAGGCTACAAGTGTGAGGCAAGGTACCCGTCGGGCGCACCTCGGCGCGCCGCGCCGGTACTCACCAACAACCAATCTGCGCAGAGCTCCTCGCTCAATCTCAGTCACCACTGCGCCTGCCCCGCCCGCCCTCGCCCCCACCCATCGCCACAGCAACCCCAGCACAGCGGCGCCTCCCTCCCACACCACCGCCTCATCAACGCCTGTCAGTTAGTTGGCGTATCTTTGACTCCCTCAGATCCAGCCCGCCACCCCCCTCAGCCCCACACCCCCAAGAGGACACTGCCCTCCCGCCGTGAGCGACCCCCCTCCCTCCCCCCCGCAGTGCGCTAGTAGTTTATACGCGATATACACTCAAACGGAATTCCGAATGGCATGCCGAAGTGCAAAAGGGCACGCCCCTGCGTGGCAGGGCGCGGAGGAAGGGATGGGCCACGGAGAGGGGGTTGCAGGTCAGCATGCTTTGGATGACGGTTGTCGCCCTGCTTGGTCTGGCACTCCGCGGGGAATACCCCCTCGCCCCGACTCCCGCGCTCTGACTTCCACCTGTTTGAGTGTCTGCATCCAATGGCTAATGTTGATAAATAATGAAAGCACAGTCTTGAGTACAACTGGAATGGCTTGCGCTGCTACTCTCTATTCAGAAACCTGTTTGTGTTTTGGATATGAGTCCGCCGCCCAGTAGTGCAGCCTTTATTCATGGTTACACAGCAAACTGCACAGCATGCTGAGCAGTAACTCAAAATTCTTTGTTTAATGAAATAGACTACCTGTCCCGTGCACATGACAAGAACAAAAACTCCGGAAGTGCTCTTATTTTAACTACAGGGGAGGTAGATTTCTTGAGGATGCTAACACTTTGAGGTATATTCCGACTAAATATAACTAGAAATGTTAACTTTCCTTCAAAATTCACCATGGCAAGCAAATATTTCAATGGCACTTCCGAACTTTTTGCTCTCCTTCTTCACACGGAACAGGTAGTCTATTAACACGGCAAAAGGTGTAGCATTTAGAAAGATTTCAGATTGTTTCTGTATATCATTGGTATTCCTTCAGACTAGTCTGCAAACAGCAAGGTGGATAGACAACGGTGGCGAAACGAAGCCTGCGAGCGCGTAGCCAGGCGTGGCTCCCGCTGGCGCGCTGCGGGATTGCCTACTGCCCAGGGGGACGGGCCGGCCGCGGCGCGGCGCGCTATGGGCCGCTTGGGCTTTTTCGGCCCTGGCGGCCTTCCCGTTCATTTTCATGGATTTTGTATAAGGACATAAATTAAAGGGCTCGATTAGAGGAGTTGATTCAGCTTTTGCCCGACCCGATCCGACCTCTGGTTAGGGAGAAACGGCGATATACGTATTACGCGCAAATGACACGGCTCCGGTATTTCTCTTCTAGCGTCTTTCCTGTTGATTTTACTTGGGGGCTGAAAGCGAGGCGTATGGAGGGCATTCTTTGGGCTTTCGGATGAGCTTTCGTCCGACTCGATCCGACCTCCCGTTTACGAATGGCATGGACGTGTTTGCCGACCCTGCCGTCGGCTGCGCCACCGGCGCTCCGCTCAGCTGTTGTTGTTGTTGCTACACTCAGCTGATGCGAGGCGGCGTGGTGTAGGTCGTGTAGGTTAAAGTTTATTTATAGCATGAAATTAATTGTAATGAACAATTCAACATTGTCAAGATGTATATTAATTCAAAACGCCATAGGTAAGTATACTAGTTCATTAATTAAAAATCTTTGGTGAAGCTCATTTGCCAAGTGGGTGTCTTTCTAGACCTCTTTGATCTTCTTACATCATTATTGTCAACTTCTTTGGTTGCAGCCTCTTCATGTTTCCTCTTGCGCTCTTCTTTATTTGTAGATTTTTCCTTTTGCTTATCATTTGACTGCTTAGGCTTTTTTGGCCTGGCCACCTTGGGCTTGGCCTTAGTGGCGGGCTGTTGCTTTTTTGATGTGGGAGCAGGAATGTCAGTTTTGTCACTTGCTGATTTGTCTGGGGTGTTAGTGGTGTTATCTTGGGGTTCTAGAGTAATGTCTGTCGTGGCTGGGGACCCATCGGGAAGGTCAGCCCAATTGATTCCCATATCGTCCCATACACTTTCTTCTATAACTGTCTGGCTCTGAGATGTAGTTTGGTCAGTTTGTGGGTTGTCCTTTTTTTTTGATTTTCTCTTCCTTATTTTTTTGTGGATAACTGCTTCCTCCTCAGGCACTCCATTTTCTCCTGCTGGGGCTGCATTTAGTTTGAGCTGCTTCAGAAGGGCCTTTCCTCGCTTCTTTTTAGTAGCAGCAGCACTATTTTGTTTCATAAACCTTCTGCAAGCAAAGTGCATTCTGGTGGTCAAGAAAAATCTTAATATGGCTTTGCTAAGATCTTGCTTATGCTCTTCACAACCCACAAGCTTTTCCAACTTGACATATTTTACTTCATCCAGCACTGAAAAAAGAATTACTGTATTACTTTTTGTTTCAGGGTGCACTGCAGTAGAGAATTAAAAACTAATATACTAGTAACAAACCATTGAGAAGGATGTTCCTGTTCATTTTGCACTTGCTGAACACCGACAGCAGAACGGATTCAATTTGGTAAAGGAGATCTCTCAAGGAATCTGATGGCACTAAGAGATTACCCTTACTTCTTTTTTCAATGAGATACTGTGTTTCTTTCAATGGCAGGTCATTTGGTCTCAGCAAACTCTTAAAGCAGTCATCACATTTTTTGGCTACAGAAAATGATCTGGCCTTCCTAGCCACATACCCTGCAAACATCTCAAATGCATACTCATCTATAGTACAATTAAAGTGGTAAGAGTGGTCATGACTGTTGACTGGTATAAAATGGTTCTCCATAATTTCATCGGCTCCTCCTACATCTAGCAAATTATCCAGTATTTCTTCAAATTTAATTTTTTTTTCAATATCTGTTTCTTCGATAACTTCTTTTAGGCTGGTGAGGGACTCCAGCATTTCCCCACCAGTGACGTTACTGCCACGAGGAGGTTTGATGAGAGAAGCAGTCTGGAGAAGCCTGAACACTTGAATGAACTGTTTTGGGTCAGGATGGTCATTGCTCCCACAGTTTGCCCTAATATTTCCAAAGAAGTGCTGTGTGAGAATCAAGGTAATTTTTTTAGTGCATAGAATAAATAGACAAATCAAATGATAATCATAGTGAAATTGTAATTTTTTTTTTTAATTTTTATTTAACTTTACCTCTAGTGCATCCTGGTTAAGCTTTCTTGTCATAAGATACTTGTAACCAACATACTTAACAAGATACTTGACAAGCTCTAGGGCACCTTTCAACGTTACCATCAGACCAAGGTGGGTTTGCCAGGCCAGCCTTAAATCAGCCTGTGGTACCTGTGCTTTCCACTTATTTAAGAATTCTATGAATTCTTGAATAGCCTGTCACAGAAATTAAATTTTTAGATTTCTTATCATTATTACTTTCATAATTTTTAAAAGCAGCAATTATATATGTTACCTGTTTTGAAGTATTGTCATTTTCATCAGTCAGGCTGTCCCATGTATCTTTTGCATTCATGGCCTTTATTAATTTGTTTACCTTCCTTATGAAGGAAACTGTGGCTTGACTGTCATGAAGTTCATGGACTTGCATTTTGTCTCTGTAGTGCTCCATGGCCCTAGCCACATCCTCACTAAAAAACTGAAAATACAAGACATTAAATTTGGTCTTCATTTTTTTATTTTTTCAGAAAAAAATTACTGTTATTTACCTGAAATGCCATCTGGACATTCATTGCTTGATATGTAGTAGGATTGATATGATCCTCGGTTAATTTCCAGCAATTGGTTATATGCTTCAGGATTATGCTGTCATGCTTTACTACAGCCCTCCAATGGTCCAGTTTCACCTTTCCATCAGGTGTCTACATTAACAATCATAAACAAATTAAATATAAAATATATAAGGTAATGATGTTAACATTATTTGGATTTAAAGATAGTATGGTACAGCTGTGTAATTACATATTTACCTGCAGAATTTCTGATGACCTCACCCGAGACCAGATGGATTTTACAAGGTGTGGAAAATCTGAACAAAAACGCAGCCTTCTGTGTGTCGGTTTATCTGATGGGTCAACCAAATCTTCCATGCTATTGGGATCATCAAGATCACCACTTTCTCCTTCATCTTCTTCAAGAGCTGTTGGGTGACGGCAGCTGACTGATTCCTCACTTATTCCAAAGAGTGACCACATATTTCGGTTCCAGGAACCCCCATCAGTTGTTACCACATCCACAAAATATCCGTGCTTCTCAAGAAGAAGAATGGCTTCTGTTGTCAGTTTTTCAAGTTCAGGACCCTTAGCAGCTCCACGGCTACAAAAAGCGCCAATGGCCTGGAACCATTGGCCTTGAAAGGGTTGAAAAATGAACGCCAGGGCATGGTCTCCCAATGTTTGATGAGCATTTTCAGGTGAAGCAGAGCCCAATGTCACAAATCCTATCATTTGCAAAGTTTCGTTTTCAAAATGTAGTCCTTCATCCATTGCCATTTCATCAATGAGTAGAGCACCTGTAAGAGTAATTATTGAAAATGTGCAGAATTTTATGTTCCATAAACATTTTAAATTTTTAATGAGGTACTTACCATGCCTTTGGGCCTCTGTTAGATGCTGTTTTTTCTTCTCCATTAATTTAAATGTTGGCTCATGAAATCCAAATGCTGGTTTAAGTTTTTTTATGTACCTTTGGAGAGTTCTAAAAGAAGGTAGTGGTAAAAAGTTATCTCTAAGCATTTTCCGGTACAACTTTGCAGACTTTATCCTCAGGAGAATGCATTCATAAAGCCACTCATATTTGTACCTCCTATTTTGGGCTTTGTCAACCTTGCTGGCCATAATAATGGTCTCCACAGCAAGCCTATGCTTTTCAGGAAGTTTTTCCAAAATCTCTTTTATTGCATCCTCCTTGAGGGTTCTCATTTTTTCAAAGCACTCAACCAGCTGCTTTTTCACTCTTGTGATCTAGTAGGAAAAAAAATGATTTCAGTATTACTTGTTATTGTTAAGAAAGGAAATGGGAAAAAATGTTTATCTTACCACAATAGATTGTCGTTTAATTTTTGAGTCCTTCCTTTTCCTACTTCTCTGACGTTTCAATTTAATTTTTCTTTCCCTCCTATTTTTTTTAAAATGACTCTTTCTTTGCCAGTTGCAGTGCTCACACCTTTCCTTTTTTGTGAAAACATCTTCCCAATACAACAGACATTTCTTATGCCTACCATTATTGATGCCTGATCCAGGACAAATTAAAAATTTGTCAACAGTACTTATTAGATTTACAAGCGAAAGAATGTTGTTGTCCAAAGTAGGTGATGATTTTATTTTATTGTCATTGATGAAGATATGCGGCTCTTGACTATTTGAATGGAACACAATTTTTTTATCTATTGCCTGGTGATGTTTGCTCATGTGGGCAAATGTTGTTGCTTCCTTGTCCTGAAACACTGCCCACATTTTGTTGGGCAAGGGGATTCTTTGAGGAAATTTGTGAATCTCCTCATTCACATCAACGGACAGATTGTCACCAGGGCTGCAAGAAGGGGAATAAAGTGGTAAGGTTTGGAGTGACCATTTACTTAGATTTCAGTCCTACTAAACTGACTT